AATGGAGAGGAGGACTCAGGCAGATTTCTTATGAGCTTTGAGAAAAGCCATTTCGAGAATCTGCTGAGCAAACTGGTGTCGCGGGGGCCGGAGTGAGGACCAGGGAAAAGAATTGTCAAGTGACATGAGATGCTCAGGTGACGCTGGGGACCATAAGTCAAGGCAGAAGTCTACACTTATGAGTGGCGTTTCCCCCGGAAGATCCCAGCATCTCAGAAGTACAGGGTTGGAAGTGAGTGGACCCAACGGGGACGTTTTATGGGCCGTAAGCAGTAAGGGAACCTGAAAGAAAAAGTGAGAGTGAAAATTGCTCAGTTCATGTCCAACTCTTTGTGACCCCATGGACTGTAGCCCGCCAGGCTCTTCAGTCCATGGAATTCTCCAGGCAAGAGTACTGGAGTGGGCTGCCATTTCCTTCTCCAGGGGATCTTCCTGACCCAGGGATCGAACCTGGGTCTCCCACATTGCAGGCAGACGCTTTACCGTCTGAGCCGCCAGGGAAGCCAAGGGAACCAGAAGATGCTGGTAACTGCTCGTGGGGTTCTGGGCTGGGATGGAAAAGAGGGATCAGGAAACAGGTCTGAGGCTGAAACGAAGGGTAACAGGGAAGAGGGGGCGAGAGTCGGAGATAAGAGGATGTTGGGAGTTTGAGATGCCAAGGTCCACTCCCAGGGACGATGTGGACCAGGATGTGGCGGCTGAAGAGGTGGGAGGGAAGGTGACTGGGGTTTCGGAGGCCAAGATAGAAAGGGGCTTCCGTGACTGAGACAATGCAGGGGTGGCGTGGCCTGGGTGAGAGAGAGAGGAGTTTAAGTGCCGGGTCTTCAAGAGCATGGGGCAGGGTGAGCAGATGACAGAGACAGACATTATGGGGTGATGGCTTCAGTCTCAGAGCCAGTGCTGCCTCGCGTAGGACTTGGTCAGTCACTAAGGAAAGAGGCAGGCGGTCCTCAATTGCATTCTTGCCACCAGGGCGCCTGTTTACTCAAAACAGTGCAAGGACACACCCAGTCCACTCCACAGGGAGTAAGAGGAAGGGACAGTTTAGAATATGCTAGTCCTTCCTCTGCACAGAGCCCCTTAAAGCTGTCTGTAAGCAGTAAGGAAGTTTGCTGGGAACTCTGTCCTGGGACATGGAGGCAGGAGGCCTCCCGGGACTGTCATTTCCGAGTGGCAGCTGCTGACCCCACCACAGCTTGTTCGAACTCATGTCCACTGAGTCAGTAATACCATCCAACCATCTCATGCTCTGTCATCCCCTTCTCCTCCCACCTTCAATCTTTCCCACCATCAGGGTCTTTTCCAGTGAATCGGCTCTTCGCATCAGGTGGCCAAAGTATTGGAGCTTCACTTTCAGCAACAGTCCTTCCAATGAATATTCAGGGTTGACGCTGGGGCTGGTTTTAGGGCTCACCCTGAGGCCAGACCCCGTGCTTACCTGCACACGTTAAGAATTCATTTGCCAGCCAAACTTTTCTTAAAGACATCTGCCATTATCAGTGCTTAAGTTCTGAGTCTCTCCAGAGTGGGTTGCTGTTCGTTAAAAGTAGGATAAAACAACTCCTTTTGTGTTTTCTGTCAACCAGACTCAGTTTTTCAACACAGGAGCTCCTTTCTAAGTCTAGGTCGGAGCCCAGCTGCTCGTGTCTTACCGTCGTCACTTTTCCTCTTGTGACACAGAGGTGCTTTGGCTGGGAAGGCTAAACTGAGGAGGACTTGGTGAGTGTGTGGTCACGGTGGGATCAGGAGAAGGGGATGATAGAGGATGAGATGGCTGGATGGCATCACAGACTCAGTGGACATGAGTTTAAGCAAACTCTGGGAGACAGTGAAGGACAGGGGGGCCTGGCGTGCTGCAGCCCTTGGGGTCGCAAAGCGTCGGACACGACTGAGCAACTGAACAATAACCAAAACCAGCCCAGAAGCAGAGATGAGTGGAAGACGCGTGTTCACTTAGAATGACTGGGTAGGAAGGACGTGTAACAGTCCTGGGGAGCGTCAACACATCATGCAGTTTACCTATCACCACAGCTGATTCCTGTTTGTCTGAAGACTAGCATTGCTAGGCCTGATTAACAGCCAAGGAAATGAAGAGTGAAAAGGCTACAAGGCCGCTCGGAAGTCTCCTGCACGATAAACGGCAGGGTCAGGCCCTAACCCCTTAGGATGACTCTTGACACTCCTCAGTTCTGCCTGCCTAAGTACCTTTGTAGCTGGCGTACCTTTCAAGGCCTGGAACTCCAAACCCATTTGCACTATTAAATTCAAGTGGGAACTCTGAACAAGGAATGGCTCATGAAAAATGATAACAAGAAAAAACAAGTAGGACATGATGTCAGTAGCGAAGTACTGAGAAAAACCTCAGACATCTCAATAGCAGTTTCAGGGGATTCATTTGTTAATTTGATGAATTTCCAAGGCAAAATTATAGCTCTTTTACACTGAGCGCTGTGAGTGCAAGCTAAGTCGCTTCACTTGTGTCTGACTCTTTGCAACCCTATGCACTATAGCCCACCAGGCTTCTCTGTCCACGGGATTCTCCAGGCAAGAATACTGGAGTGAGTTGCCATGACCTCCTCCAGGGGATCTTCCAGACCCAGGGATTGAATCCGCGTCTCTTATGTCTCCTGCCCTGGCAGGCAGGTTCTTTACCACTAGTGCCACCTGGGAAGCCTCCTGAGAGCACGTTATGCCTTTATCACAAACATTTACAAATTTATCATCCAATTTATTTTATCTACTTCCTTTCACTTAGAAATTTTTTTTTTTAAAGGCTAGTTTGCAGTCAAATGCTGTCCTGGGCACTGGGTGGTTAATTTTCAAGACCCAGGTGAAATATCCTCCCCTCAGGAAGGCCATTATCTGACCAGCTTGGGCTAGGGTCCTCCTCTTGTCCCCAGACTCTCCACTTGTTGCCAGGACAGCCAAGGGGAAGTGAGACCTGTATCTTGAGCTCTCTGGTCATGGCCTGCCTCCCATCTGGGCACATCTTCTTATCCTCTGGCCTCATAGAGCAAGAGTGCTTGGCAAATGGGGGTGAGCAGCTGGGCTCATCTCATCTGCTACGTCACTGCCTTTTAGCAAAGGGAGAAAGTCCTGCTCAGACGTGGCGGCTCAGCCCAGCGCGGATGGGCCTCTCACCCAGATGCAGGAGGGGGCTGGCTTCTTGTAGTTCGACCCTGCAGTAAGTGTGCCGTGCAACAAGTGTGCCTGTCGGGGCTACCGCAAACTCAGACAGAACTTTCTTCCGTTCAAGCGCATGTGCCACATTCATTTGGATGCGCAGACAGCAGAGCAACTGCAGCACAGTCGATTTAACCTGTACTTTGGAGGGACACGCAGTGGGCAAAGCAGAGGGAAAACGAGGCCGATTTACCACTAGAGACCTCAGCCTTCCTTAGATTCACGGGCAATAACCAGATTCGTTTCCTGGACTGAACCACTTAGCCTCAGAAAAAACCTAAGAACTTATAAGACTCAAGAACATAAAATGTTGCATCAATGATGTCAGCTTTATAGTGTGTGAAATTAGGATCTATCACCACAGTTTAAGCTCCAAATCTAATACATGCATTGATTTTGGGGGTAGGGAGGAGGGTCCCTTGAACAGGCCCAGTTTCAGAGATCCACAATCAAGAACACACTATAGGTTTGGTGATTAAGAAAAACATGTATGTACCTATGGTGTTGCTATAGTCGCTAAGTCACGTCTGACTGTTTGCAACCCCATGGACTGTAGCCCACCAGGCTCCTCTGTCCATGGGATTTCCCAGGTATGAATACTGGAGTGGGTTGCCATTTCCTTCTCCGGGGGGGATCTTCCTGACCTAGGGATCAAACCTCTGTCTCTTGCACTGGCAGGCGGATTCTGTACCACTGAGCCACCAGGGAAGCCCATACACACTGACAGTTTTTATTTAATTTGTACTGATTCAAACGAGGGGTGACCCACCGCATGCAAGGGCCCAGAGAAGCTCATGAAGATTAGGTACCATCTAAGACCCTGCACACACCCTGATCTTGTCAGCAATCCACCGTTTTGAAACTCCACAGAAGGAATAAAGACTGTTACTGTCCCATACCTCTGCCTGCTTACAGAACTTCTCCCTACTCAGCAGGAAGCAGGCCACAGTTCTTGAGGCACTGGCCTCCTGTGTGCCCCCTTTGTGTGGCAAAGTAATAAAGCCACTCGTTCTCCTCCCAAAAAATAAAACCCCCAAACAAACAAGCTAGGCCTAATCAGATGCTTAAATAAAACTTTCATCCTGATTTTCTTCTAAATGTTTCATTGGCAGCTTAGTTTGGCTCTGAAACAGGGTTCGACCCCCAAAGTTACAAAGGCTCTGCAGCCTGACAAAAGGCAAACACCGCTAGCTGTAGCTGCAGCCCTATCACCACACCTTGCAATGTGACCTCCAACAGCTTCTCTCTGTTAGTTTCCTTAGTGGCAAAAGGGACTGGGCTAGTGCTCAGAGCCAGTGTTCTCCACACTGTAAGCTGAACATTCACTGGAAGGACTGATGCTGAAGCTGCAGCTCCAATACTCTGGTCACCTGATGTGAAAAGCCGACTCACTGGAAAAGACCCTGATGCTGCGAAAGACTGAAGGCAGGAGGAGAAGGGAACGACAAGAGGATGAGATGGTTGGATGGCATCACTGACTCAATGGACATGAATTTGAGTAAATTCCGGGAGATCAAGAAGGACTGGGGAGTTTGGAGTGCTGCAGTTTATGGGGTGGCAAAGAGTAGGACAACTTAAGAACAATACTGTTACCGATGCAGAACACCAACTTGAAAAGAACCAACATTAGAAATAACCAAAAAGCAACTTCATGGGGCAGCCAAACTATAGTTTGTGGTAAGGGAAGTTACTTACAATGAGTTTGCTGCCTGAACTGTTTCTGATCATTTAGAAATAGAAATAAGGTAGAATTAGATTTGTTAGGCTACTTATAATAAATGAGAAGATACTCTAAAAAAAGGAGAAAAAGATATTGGTGTCTTTCAATTCACATCCTTTATTCGTCCACCTACTCCCACCCTTTACCCTCTCCACACGTGTCCCTCCCTAACCCCCATGGTCTTACGGCACAGTTGGAAACCTAATGGGGGTTGCGGGAAGGGAGGGGCGGTGACATCCAAAGGGCTGTGTGTAACAGTCCACACTTTTTATCCGGTGCCGTCGCACCAAAGGACACACTCCCGGGAGGTTGTCTGTCACCCCATCTCCTTAGCCACCAGTGAGCTCGGACTCACTTCACACGTCTTTTGTGAGTCTTCCAGTCTTCTACCTTCTTATGTAGTTGCAGACATTCATTTCCACGTTTCGCTGGAGTTCTTAAGACATGTAAAATAGTCGAGCATTTTTACACCCAAGTCCTCTCTGTCACGGTGCCTTGTTTTTTGATGAACCAAAAAGCAAACAATCATTCCACACGCACAAGGCATTAAGCTGTCGACGGACTCAGCCACGGTCTCTGTTCTCACGACTGGAATAAAAACAGGCAAACATGGCTGTAAAACACCCAGTTTAATTAAGTGGCATTAGCTAGCTTTCTTGCTGCCAGAAGAACAGGACTCTGGCTCACACGGTAAGCAATCCACCTACAATGCACCTGGGTTCCATCCCTGGGTCGGGAAGATCCCCTGGAGAAGGGCACGGCAACCCACTCCAGGATTCTTGCCGGGAGAGTCCCCATGGACAGAGGGGCCTGGTGGGCTCCAGTTCATAGGGTCGCAGAGAGTTGGACAAGACAGCAATTAAGCACACAGAAGTTCAGAGAGAAGGTTTACTGGTTCAGTTTACTCTGACCAAACAGAACAAAATATAAGCAATAAAATTAGCCCTACCAGAGGCCCGTGGCTCTGGAACTGCACTTTAACCTGTCCTTTAAAATGGATTTTCACCTTCAGTAGCCAATGAGAGCAGGCGAGAGCAAATACAGCGCTGTCTCTCTGCACGCCTATTCGTAAGCTACTCTATAGCTAAAGAGCAGAAACCAAGAGTCTCTCCCATCAAGGAAAACTCAAGGCTTAATCCAACACGTCACCTACTCTAGGGCAATTTTTAAAAGTCATTCATGCAGCAGGGTAACCAACAGCTGGGCCATCTCGGTGCTGTCTCCCACCTACCACCATTCCTGACAGTTAAACCCAGCCTCCTCCACTTGACTATGAACTCTGCCAACCCATGACTCAGAAGCTAAGTGACCTAACTGGGTACTTCCCCCATTTCTGGTATCTATGGGGAAGTACCAACTACTCGCAAAGACACCCTCCCATCAATTACTAGAGAGTGGGGAAAGTGAAATTAATTAAGCCACATACAAATTCTCCCACAACTGGTTTTTCACTTATGAACCATTTATGCAGAATGTATATGCTATGAAGCCAGAAATGACTTATTTCAGCAGACGTGACTTTCTCAAACTGTGGGTGCAACACTCTAATGGAAATAACTCAGGATTTAAAACTCAGATGCAAAGACAGAATGATCTAATTTTTCACTCCCTACACTAACATTTTCAAGTCCATGTCATTTCAAAATAAGGGACAAAACCACTTTTTAATCAGAATACACAAACTTTCCTCTAAAGGTTCTTAAAATACACCTGCTTGTTTTAACAAGTTGGATCTAAAGTTGATGTATTACAGTTCAGAATAACCATGGTGTTCAACTTCGAGAATACTGCTCCGAAAGACAGGGTAAAAGTGAATACACATTTGAAAAATTCACACAGCGAAAGGAGTACAAAAAAGACACACACTCTCAGTTTCTCGTGATTTTCTTTCTTAAAAACTAGTTTTTATTTCTATTCCTTCAAACCCAAAGTCAGGTCGACCAAAACAACGAAGGGCAAGACCACATCGCTGCAACATAGACAACTATTTAGGAAGGTTTAACTTGCCTAGAACTCGCGCCAGAAGAAAAAAAAAAGAGGAGGGGGGACCTCTGCTGCAGGTATAAAGGAGAACTGGGCGGGAAAATTTGTGGCATTTTCAACAAGGAGACAAATGCAAAGCCGTGAGGAGGAGCGTCTACACGGGTGACAAAGAGGTGAAGACGGTGGTGGAGGGGAAACGACTACTGGCTGGAGAGCGAAGAAAGGGAAGCTGAGCAGGAAATGCTCGGAAGCCACAACAAGCCAAGCTACCTGGACCCTGCAGCCAGTTCTAAGATCTACGGGGAAGCAGGCACCCAACGGCTAAGTCGCAGGTTTCCGCGGGTCACGAAAGGATAACGGACATCTTCCCAACGGCGGGCCCGGGGACGCGTCGCGCCGCTTCCGCCCGCCCGAGCCGCCCGGGACCCGGCGGGGCGCGCGGCTGCGGAGCTCGCGGTGAGATGCGGGACCGCGGCCGCCGTTCCCCTTCGTCGCCCGCCTTTGTTCGCCTGGCCCTGCTCCCCCCTCATTCGGCCGCCGTCGCCCGCCCGGAGCCGGGTGCCAAGAACAAACGCCGCCTGACGCGAAAAACGAGGCACATGAGCTTCTCGTCAAACCAGACTTTATTGGGGGCCGCCGGGGCCGCCCCGAGCGCGCCTCCAGCTCCCCCCCGCGAGGCCCGCCGGCCGGGACGCCCCGCTCGGCTCGGCCAGCTCTGCCCCGCAGGCCCCCTCCCCCGCGGCGCCGGGGGGGCCGCGNCCCCGCCCGCCCGCCGCCTTCCTCCCTCAGCCTTCCTTCCCCACGGCCGGCCGCCTCCTCGCAGCCCCGGAGCTGAGGCCGCCGCGGCCGTGGCCGCCGAGCCCTCAGTCATGGCCTCGGGCGACACCCTCTACATCGCCACGGACGGCTCGGAGATGCCGGCCGAGATCGTGGAGCTGCACGAGATCGAGGTGGAGACCATCCCCGTGGAGACCATCGAGACCACGGTGGTGGGCGAGGAGGAGGAGGACGACGACGACGACGAGGACGGCGGCGGCGGCGACCACGGCGGCGGGGGCGGCCACGGGCACGCGGGCCACCATCACCACCACCACCACCACCACCACCACCCGCCTATGATCGCGCTGCAGCCGCTCGTCACCGACGACCCGACCCAGGTGCACCACCACCAGGAGGTGATCCTGGTGCAGACGCGCGAGGAGGTGGTGGGCGGCGACGACTCGGACGGGCTGCGCGCCGAGGACGGCTTCGAGGACCAGATCCTCATCCCGGTGCCCGCGCCGGCCGGCGGCGACGACGACTACATCGAGCAGACGCTGGTCACCGTGGCGGCGGCCGGCAAGAGCGGCGGCGGCGGCGGCGGCTCGTCGTCGTCGGGCGGCGGCCGCGTCAAGAAGGGCGGCGGCAAGAAGAGCGGCAAGAAGGGCTACCTCGGCGGCGGGGCCGGGGCGGCGGGCGGCGCGGACGCGGGCAACAAGAAGTGGGAGCAGAAGCAGGTGCAGATCAAGACCCTGGAGGGCGAATTCTCGGTCACCATGTGGTCCTCAGGTGAGCGCCGGCGCGTGCCGGCCCCGGGGATGTTTTTGTTTTGAAGGGAAGCCATGTTTTATGTGTGTGATGGGCGCCGCCATCTTCTTCGCGGGGCAAGTATGGCGGCCCCAAAAGATGGCGGGGGCGGCGGGCGGCGGCGCGGCGAAGATGGCGGCGGAGGCGCGGCGCCGCCCGCTAGGCCGCAATGGCGTAGTTTCCCCGGGCGGGGCGGCTGCACTCCCGGCCCGGGCCGCCTTCGCCGCGTTTCCCTGGCCTTCCCCTGGGGGGCGTCACGGGCCCGACTCCGCCCCCCGCCCCTGCCCAGGAGCCGCCGCAGATCCCGGGAGGCGCCTTCCGCGGCCGTGCGCTCGTCCTCCCGGCCGCGCGGCGCTCCCTCGGCTCGCTTCGCGGGGCGGGACTTGGGCGGCACGTCGGGCTCGCGTGTGCGGGCTCGGCGTCGGCGGGACCTCTGTCAGCGCGCTGCGGCGGGGCCTTCGCCTCTGCTCCCCATGCGGCGCCTAGTGAGGGGTCGCGGGTTTTTGCAGAGGACTGAAATCCTTCGCACTCGAGGGAGTTTTGTTAAGTTATTTGACTCTGCATTTGCTTGTCTGCCATTAAATTGATAAAATCGAGTATTTTTTAAGTTTCCACGTTTGTTGATAGAAAACTTCCAGTGAAAAGAAGGGGTTCTAGAAAAGGGTCTTTTAACTCTTTTAACACTGCTTTCTGAACGAGGGCCAGGAAAAATATCTAGGGCAGAAAAGAATTATCTGCATATGTAAATCTGTTTTGATTTTACTTGGTAACTAGTGTTTTCCTGTCTTTATCTTCTTATCTGTCCACAGGCTTTCTTGTTAAATTTTGGTCGTAGTAGTAATGAGGTTGAGAGTAATCCTGCCATAGCGAGTTAACCTAGTGCTTGGGTGATTGAAGTGGTAGAACCCTTTTCACCACACTTGCTCCCACTCTGTTTGATATAGATTCTCAGAATTGGATGAAACCTTGAAATCTGTTTAGGGTTTAGGGTTGTTAAAATTCACGAGAACGAATGAATCGGGCAAAAGACTGGATTGAAGCAGGTCTGGTTGTATCTGCTGTGCAAAGCTGCAGGTTTCTGTGGGTCTATGACTCGGGACTGGCTGTGGAGCGGAGGTGCCCTCAACATGTAACAGCACTTGCTCACAGCCCTGCTGTTTGGGTTTCTGAGGGCCTTGTGGAACTCTCAGTAGTTTCGCAGGAGCTGTATATTTAAATGAGACATGTCTTAGTATTTAAGAGGCTATCCAAAGATCCCTTCTGTATACATTCTGGTAGTGCAGAATGATTGCACAGTGGTCATGTAGGAACTAGAAGCCATGCTTTCCCATTATTAATAGTAATGGGTTATGGGACGCTGTGCTGGTTACTGATGAATTTGCTGAATTCAGAGCTTCCCCCGGTGGCTCAGCTGGTAAGGAATCCGCCTGCATTCGCAATGCAGGAGACCCAGGCTCGATCCCTGGGTGGGGAAGATCCCCTGGAGAAGGAAATGGCAATCCACTCCAGTATTCTTCGGGGAAACCCCAAGGACAGAAGAGCCTGGCAGGCTACAGTTCATGGGGTCGCAAAGAGTTGGACATGATTTAGTAATGTTTTAAACCACCCCTTGCTGAATTCAGGATATCATTAGGTATTTAGGTAAAGATACATTAACCACATGAAGCTATATTTACTTTTTCTCACAGTATGGTCATGTTGGCTTTAAGTAATTTAGCAAACCAGGATATTTTACGTATTCTGCATTTAATCTTAGCAAATTGCTAACCCACTTCTCCATACCCAGAACGCTTGATAATGTAGACTTTACCTGAAGTGGTATGTATCAAGTTAGCTGAAAAGTCATTACCTCCTCTGCAAGTGATTGCTCCAGGCTTGTACAGTTTTAGGGATATTTTAAAGTCTCCTTTAAAGAGTTAGTTGTTTGGCATGTTGAAGAGAAGTGAAATAGTTTGTGATTAACTCTACATGTCCTAAGTTCAAATTTGGCATTTAGTTTCATCTTCAGAAATGAAATAAGGTAATTGATAACAGATGAAGAAATCAGGTTAATTGTTAGGCTTAACTTATGTGTGCGTGACTGGTAGGCATTACACACACTGCTTTCATGTACTTGATTACATCTGATCCTAGGCAAGAGAAGTTTTAAACAGCCCCTTGGTCTGAGCTCAAGTTTAGTTAACCTGAAGTTCTTTAAACAATAGCAATACACATAGGGTATTGTCAGGGCTCTAGTTAGTTGGTAGCACCTCTTGGCTAAAAAAGTGAGAGAAAAGCAGTGAGAGAAAAAGCCCTGGGTTGTGTGGGCTGCTGCTGCTTGTGTGCTGTCTTCATTTAATTTCCACAGGGCAGCTGAGCTCCGTGGTTGGCATCTTTTGAATGGGATGGCAGAGGGGAGTCGAGTATTCCTATAGTAGAGTAGGGTCCCTAGAGATCTGCTTTTATTTCTTTTTTAATTATTGACATCACATGTGCGTGGTTTAGTGACCTTTTACTTTGTTCACCAGCTTGTGGAATCATCACCACTGTCTAATTCTAGAACATTTTTATCACCCCAGAAAAACTGGCTATTATTTCCCTCTCCCCCACCCACCCCTCCCAGCCATTAATCTGCTTTTTCCCTGGATTTGCCTATTCTGGACATTTCATTTACGTGAAATCATACACTATATATTGCCTTTTGTGTCTGGCTTAGTCTGTTTTCAAGGTTCTTCCAAGTTGTAGAATGTACTTCATTACTTTTTACAGCTGAATACTATGCCACAGAAGCTGCTTATTTTTGCAGATGAGAAAATTAAGGTTTAGTTAAGACTGAACGTGTTTTAACATTTAATCACAGTTTAACTGTGTTTTGAAGAGAAGGAAATGGCAACCCACTGCAGTCAGCACTCTTGCCTGGAAAACCCATGGACAGAGGAGCGTGGTAGGCTACAGTCCATGGGGTTACAGAGAGTCGGACACTGAGCGACTTCACAAGAAAAGGATCCTTTGCTTAAGGCCCGTATTTGTTCTTGCATCTTTCCTAGCATATAATTAATGAACATTTCATTATTGCTAAATTTAAGGCACAGTATTATGTATTCCGCCCCCCCCAGTTCTTCATGATAGTTTAGGAGGGACATCCTATTTTGTAGGATTTATTAAAAACTAAACCACTTAACAGAATCACTGGGTTGAGTAGGAAAGCTAATAGTAAAAGCTGTGTATTTAAAATATTTAGTTTAGAGAGAAATCAAAAAGGCTTTTGAATCTTGAGGTTTCAGGTAGTTAGAATGTGTGACCTTCACTCAAGGCTGTCGGTATTTTAATTATCTTCTGTTAGAATATAGAAGTGCTTTGTGCTAGTTTGAGTAAAACATCTAAGACCAGAAACCATTGATATTAAAAGCAGCAAATTGAAAGAAAATCAAAAAGTATTACATTTTTTCTCACTTTTATATGTTCAGAAAGTTCAAGTTTGCCAAAAATGACTAGTCCTGACAATTGACTATTTTTCCTTTTTTAACATGTTGTTTATCACTATGGAAAGATGCTATAAATGTAAACTCCCATTGAGCCAAGCCCAAAGAACCCTCCAAAGTAATCGTGTCACCCCCATGACCTACATAGGACAGCCTAAGTCATAGATCCTGCTTCCTGACCTGGTGGCTCTGGAAGCCTGGCTTACTTACAGGCCTCTGTGCTGTCAGACTCTTGTCTCCTGGTTATTAACCTCCCTCCCACCCCTAGTCAACAGCTGTCTGCTCCAGTAGGAAAAGAAAAATCCGTATCAGAAAAGGGCAGGACTCCTGACCTACCTAAAACTAACATTTCAGGCTTTTGGGAGAGAATGAAGATTAATTTTTAAAAAATATGCTATACTCCTGGGTGAATATTTACAAAAAGGCTTTCTGTTTGTTTTGAAGTCTTCTTTAGTAAGATCAGTTTAAGTCTGGGAAACAGGGCTCATAACAGGTTATTAGCAAAGGCAATTATCTTGAACATTTCCCAAGATCTACATTTGGTGACCAGTTTATAAACTGCCCTTACTACTTCCATAGGAAGAAAGTAAAAGTGAAAACTTTATAATTTTTAAGTCTGAACATTTACCAGTGAGTTGTATTCTACAGTATTAAGCACTCACTGTACTCAATATTTTCAAAATTTGGCATCCAACACACCACTTGGATGTTGAAGAAAACATGTATTTCTTTACTGTTTGTAGACTGTTAGGAAGATGCAGGGAGGTCTTGGAAGCTAGTTGACTATATTGTGTAAACTTGTGCCTTCCTGTTTATGGTGAACTTTACAGGTGGGGAGAGGAGCTATTTCTTAGTCTTAAGGGTCTTGTGTTGGTAGGTCCCGTTACGTGTAACGTAGTTATTAATTATCAATAACAGCAAGCCCAGTGGTTTTTTAGGATCTTGTTAGTAAGAGCATCAAATTTCCCTTTGGAAGGCAGTGGCCAGAGATCTGACCTTGGCGTGTCTCAGCTTCTGCCCTTGGGGTCTTTGTAAAACGCCCTGTTGGGGTAGGAGGACCCCTGAAGGCATTTTTCATTTCCTTTACAGCAAAGAAATTCTACTTGATTAATTCCTTTGTGAGAAAAGGAAGCAATATACTTAATTTCTTAAAGCAAAACGACCCAATTTTAACATGACATGGTGAAATAATAGGAACTCTCTAGAGCAGAATTCTTGTTAACTCTTCAGTTACTTTAGTGTTACACTGCAGTTCAGATAGGATTACACATTAAGCTAATGTAAATGGTTGTGATGGACTCCTCTGTATTGTGTAAGTTATTCCCTTTGAGTGTAAGAGCTGAGGGGCAGGGAAGGAGAGAGGCAGTGTTTTGTGAAAGCTGTTCTGTGGTGGACCTGTCTTCTTCCGGGAGAGCCACAAGCTCCAGGTAGAATTTCTAGTGTCTCACAGCGTCACACTCCACAGGGCTGCGGTTCTCCGATCTGCCCTCTTCTCTCCGCTTGTTTCTTGCTTCTAAGCAT